GCAGTCAAAACTTTTACATTTTTTGTCCGGGGCAAAGCCCGGACTTTTCATCCTTGCACTTTCTATGTCTGTCATATTTATCAATTCGGAAACAACATTGAAAGCTTCTGGCCCCCGCGTAGCGGGGGTAACCTTTCTAGTTGTATAAGAAAAAAGACTTAACGATACAATGCTTAATTTTTTTTCTTGAATATGTTTATCTATATTTTATATTAATAAATATCTTTTCGGTGATATGTTTCATCCTCATTTATTTCGTAACATGTCATTTTTTAGTTATTTTCAATTAAATTATTTTCACATGTCATTTTTCTTAGGCCTCCCGGTATACTGAGCATGAGGCTCGTCGTGATCGACGTGGCCACGAACAATGGTCATGCACACTATCCCCACCTTATGTGGTTGCTCATTGTCGTGGAGGATCGTGATCACCACCAGATTTGACCACAAACTCTGCCTCTCTGCATTCTTTCTCCTTTTTGTCTTCTTTCTCGCTTTGACCACAATCCCCTCTCGTGCACACTATCCCAGTTGCAAGGGGAAGAATTTTGATGGTGACGTGGAGGTGGAAGACGGTGATGGTCGTGAAAACCATTACGGATGACCTTATAGATTTAATAGTTGAGTTACTTTCCTTAAAGATTCAAAATTCCCAAATTCGAAGAATCTTTATAAATTTATGATTAGAACAGTTCTCTAAAATATTCAATAAATTACTTTATTTTTATAGATTGAAGTATTTAGTCATCATTGCATAATATAATATATATATATATATATATATATATATATATATATATATATATATATGGTTGAGATCGGTTGAGAACTTATAGTTTCCCGAGAACCCGATAACTAAAAGTGGAGCGTTGGATCAAAAGTAATTCATTAAGGACATGATCGTCATCTTACCAATCTCATTTAATGTTTAATTTTTTTTGTGTTATTTAACATATTAATATAAATGTCTAAAAATTTACATCATAAATCAAATTTTCATACTTTTTTAAAAATAATATTTTTCGTTTTTTTTAAATGCAGATTTTTTTAATTTTTTTTATAGAAAACATGAATTTTTGAAAAAAAAAATTGAAAAAATAGTTTTTTTTAAAAACTGCAATTTTTTCAAAAAACTACAAATTTTTTTTAAAAAAACTGCATTTTTAAATAAAAAAACTCTAAGTTTTTTTTAAAGAAAATTACATTTTTTTTTTCAGAAAAAGCTGTATTAAAAAAAAAACTACACTTTTTTTTAAAAAAAACTGCATTTTTTTAAAAAAAATAAATTTTTAGGTGCATATGTGCATATTTTTTCAAATGCACATATGTACATTTCTTATACTATAATATTCGTAAGTAAATCACAACAAATCTCATATTTATTAATTAATCTATAAACATAATAGTACAAGTATTTTATTCGATACAAAATAAAATAAAAAAATAAAAAATGCTACAAATTTCAAAGCGTTTTCATGTCTTCATGTCAATATTTCCCTATTTTCTTCAATTTATCATTTTTCACCTTTTCAATATTCACCAAAATTTCTTCCAAATCTACAAGAAATTTAAAAAAAAAATTATTTATGCGAAAGTACTCACAAAAATACATATGTGATTTTCATGTGATTAACATATGAATCACATGCAATTCACATATGAATCACATTTTACATATGACATCATATGTAAATTGCATGTGATTTATATGTGAATCACATGTGAATTACATGTGAATCAAATGTGATTCACATGTAAATCACATATGATTTACATGTTATTTACATGTGAATCACATGTAATTTATATGTGAATTACATGTGAATCACATGTAATTCATATATGATTTACATATGAATCGCATGTAATTCATATGTGATTTACATGTGAATCACATGTAATTCATATGTGAATTATATATGATTTACATGTGAATCGAATGTAATTTATATGTGAATTACATATGAATCACATGTAATTCATATGTGATTTACATATGAATCACATGTAATTCATATGTGAATTATATGTGATTTACATGTGAATCGAATGTAATTCATATGTGAATTACATGTGAATCACATGTAATTCATATGTGAATTACATTTGTTTTACATGTGAATCACATGTAATTCATATGTGATTTACATGTGAATCACATGTAATTACAACGTTGAACTTTATATAAATTTAGCTAAGTAAAAAAGAAACAACCATAGTTGTCCAGATTTAAGTGTTGAACTCATTAAGCCCATTAAGTAAAAAAGAAAACTGTCCATGAGTTGTATTAAGAAAGAAAATAGAGATCAAATATTCAAATCTACTTTCAAAGTTATAAACCAATTTTAAATAAGATATTAGAATCCAAGAGAATACAACATGACTCACCATAAGTTGACTTTTAGTAGAAAGTCGTCCACTGCTACTATCATCTAACAAAAATAACTTGTATAGTGCTTTGGGATCCTGCATAATTTTCAACCAAACCAACAATTGACTAACAAATTGGATTAAATATATAAATAACAAGAAACATGATAAAATTTATATTGAAACTATATGATGATTTAGCAAGTTAAAGTTTTGGAAATTAACGTGGTAGACTATGTAAAACAATTATGATGATTTAGAAAACTCTAAGGTTGAAGTTTACACATGAAATTTCTATTTGATAATTAATTTAAGTCTCTTACAACTTGATATAAAATGATAAATTTATAAAATAGTTTAATAAAAAATGTTGGATACAAAATAATGACAGAGATTCTAAAATACTTGTTATAAAAAATACAGATGATATAAATATATAAGTACCAATATATGTGAAAAACTGTAAAGTTATAAAAGTAAAACATAGTGGTAAACAAATGTTATAAAAGTAAAACATAATGGTGAAATAATTATTACCAAAAACTCATGAAAAACAGTTTGTATGTGAGTAGCAGCCCTTTTTTCTCTCATACGTTGTTCCATTTCAGATGAATTTTGCACTTCAAGTGGAGACTCAGTATTATCTTGGACTGCACTGCTATAAGCTGCTTAATATCCCATCATTTTTCTTTATACTTATACAACAGCTATAAGATTCTTAAGAGTAATGTAACAATACTAACACCATTTCAATTTATTAACAAGCAAAATTTAATAAATTCAAACGCTGAAGTTGAATTAATGTCAAATATGCTTTTTTTAGGAGGTTAATTTGATCACCAAACTATGCTTAAATCAGAAAACACATCATGAGCCCTAGAAAATGATATTCACAGAAAAAACAATGTCCTGATCCGATTCTCAGATTCAAAATAATGGTAAGCAGTCAATCCAACGTACGCATAAAACAGAGAGACATAGCAACACAAAGTGCTTAATGTATTAATTATTATCGAGATCTGATATGGAATTGTAAATTGTAAATTGCTCGATTAGAAAATCAAACAAAAGAGATAAATAATAATTGAAAACACGGTGCTTAATCCATATCTATTATTCTATAGTGTACAAACGTAACTTCAATGTATAATTCCTAACAGTAATCAACGGAAAAACGAATTAACTTCATGTAGTAAGGAATTTTTATGAAACTCGAAAGCAACCTAACCTATAATCAAAGGCAGCACAAAATCTGGCCCGCTGCTAGAGCTTCGGATGCATCGGCATGAGGTTGATCGTCGTCAAGGGTACTACCATAGTCATTCGTGATGTTTTAACAGTCAAACTTGCTTCGGAGGCGTAACACCTCAACTTCCACAACCATCGGAAGAGAACATCGATTATAGAGCCGGAAACTCAGATCTGACTTCGAAAAGGTGAGTAGTTCCAACTTCAACTTCTCAGGGGGCAACTGAGGAGGCGGATCCGATGATCGATTAATCAACGATGACAGTGAAGGATAGATTCCGGTGGTGTAGACTGAAGAATGAAAATATGTGTGTGTGTGTGTGTGTGTGTGAGAGAGAGAGAGAGAGAGAAATAGGGATGATGAGACGATTGATTTGGTGGAAATATTGATTTCATTACCATAAATGCCCTTCGATTAATTTAATTACCATACCCCCGTGTTTATTTTTTCCAGTTATTTACAAAAATGCCACAAATCATCTTGACCTTCTATTATTTTGATCTAATGGCTTTTATTTGGTTCTCGGGTTCTCGGGAAACTATAGGTTCTCAAATGATCATTCATCTCTCTATCTCTCTCTCTCTCTCTCTCTCTATATATATATATATATATTATATATATATATATATATATATAATATATATATAATATATATATATATATATATATATATATATATATATATATATAGTACAAGATCTTACAATTTGTATGAAAATAAATAATTATAAATAACAAAAAATGGTGATAGAAAGTATAAACTAACCATAACCATGTAACGCCGTAAGATTGAGACAATCGATTGCATTTAATATGTTAGCACTCTACTCTCCTTTTAAAAGAATAACTTGAGATCCAATCATATTTTTTCAAGGATACTTAAAATCATTATAATATTCGAGTGCGAATCATCATTGTCAGAAGCAAAAAATTATTTAATAATAAAGAGCAGGAAACTATTCCTACGATCGGAGATAACATATTATTTGTGTTAGTTTTATATTATTTTAGTGTGAGACTCATGATCACTAGTAAAATAAAATCCATTAACCATGATAATTATTGACACCGGGTTTATTGCTATATTTGGTTTACGTCTTATTCTCTTTGGACATAAGATAAGATAAAAAGGGGATTGTCCGATTGCAATCGATGATGTTCCATGTCTCTTGTCACCATAATTGCATGGCTTCAAGATACAATTCTTATAAAAAAAAAATTATCAGCTGAGTTTATGTAATATCTTCAAAGTCGATCATATTCAATTTCAAATGATTTTTTCTAATAATTTCCAAATTACATGAATTTAATCGTCACCTTTTAACGAGTTTCGGAGACTCAACTGTAAATTTTAGATATTTATAGAAAAACATTTATGAATATGAATATCATAATAGCTCTATCTGCTTTGGTAATATTGAGCGGTCAAGATTTTCCTCTAACACCCTTTAAAATTGTCAACACCCTCAACTCAACTCAAGTCTCCCCTCATATTCTACACACTTTGTCAGTTTTTACCCTCTCTCTGTACGACTCTTTCTCGTTGTTTTTTAGGGTTTTTGCTCAGGTACGTTCATCATTCATCCATGGATGCAATTGATTGTGTGGACATGTTTCTATGAATATGTTGGCTGTTAGATTCTACAATAATTTTGGTTTTATGCAACGTGTTTTATAATTCGGTTCCGTTTAACGCTTGCTTTTGACAAATTATGCGCTCTGTTCTCGAATATCACAACTCAATGCTTTCTTGTTGACTTAAAATTCTTGATTTCTCTTTTCTTTCTTTTATCAATGGAGTTCAATTATAGTATATGTTTACTTTTTAGCTGTTGCTAGATCACCTCAAATAATTCTGTTTTTATACTAGAATCCAGCGATTTTCAACTATTTATGATCCTATAAATTCACGAATAATAGATAGTTATCTCTTTTAAAGCTGATAAACTTTATGATCTGAATGTTGAATGTTGAGGGATTTAGGTGATATGACTTTTAATTAATGATTTCATTTTTTGTGGTAGATAGATAGATGGTCATGGATGGGCTATGGAAAGCGGATTATCGGCTATCGACCTTGAACGCCGCCAAATTCAATGGATCTGCCACAGTTCTATCAGATCAGAAGTTTCTTAACGCCATGAGTCTCAACGAAACATTTCTAGATCGAAATTCTACTACTCATACTCCCGAGTTGCCTGATCTGGGCCTTAGAAGATTCAGTCCTTCTTCTAGCTCAAACAATGAAGGGGACCTTCATGAAGATTTTGACCTTAGTGACGTAGTTTTCAAGTACATAAACCAGATGCTGATGGAAGAAGACATAGAGGAGAAGACTTGCATGCTTCACGAGTCTGCTGCTCTTCAAGCTGCAGAGAAATCATTTTATGATGCTCTTATGGTAAACGACCCTCCTTTCTGTAGCCCCCATCCTACAGTACCTCTGTATGATAATGATGGCAGGGAGGAGATTACCTTAACGGACTACAATTCTTTCATAAGTGGTACAAGTAATCTTAGTTGTGATGTTAGTGATTACGATTCACCTCTCGTCCCAAGTGTTTCTGTCAATCTTGATTCACAATCCAGATCTCAATCATCTTACTGCTCATCAAGCTGTAATAGTAATGGCATTGACAGTTTTACGGATTCGCCCCTGAGTATCCAAAGTGTTTCTGATATACTTGGCAGTAGCAGATCAGCCAGATCTGATCTGCAGTTTCAAAAAGATATTGGAGGATTGAGTAGGTTCCTTCTCAGCAATGAAAACAAGGAAGAAGCTAATGATTTGGTTATCAAAGCAGAGAATAAACATGAAAGCAATTCCATCCCTGAAAGAACAAGAGGAAAGAAAAATCCTTACCCTAAAGATCTTGATGATGATGGGAGGACTTCCAAGCAATCTGCAGTTTACACAGAGCCAACTGTTCGATCCAAAATGTTTGATGATGTTCTACTTTGTAATGGAGGAAAAAACCATCTTCATTGTGATGTTGTTCCTAATGGGGTGAATGGAGTACAACAAAAGGGTAATGGGGGAAAGGGTGGTCGTGGTAAAAAAGGTGTGAAAAAAGATGTAGTGGATTTGAGAACACTGTTGAGCCTATGTGCACAAGCTATTGCAGCAAACGACCAAAGAAGTGCAGTTGATCTACTAAAACAGATAAGAGACAATTCATCACCAACAGGTGATGGAATGCAAAGATTAGCTCATTACTTCTCAATTGGTCTTGAAGCACGAATGGCTGGATCAGGTACTGAAATATACAAAACACTCCTTTTCAGACCAACATCAGCTGTAGATGTGTTGAAAGCTTACCATTTGTACCTCAGTTGTTGCCCTTTCATAAAGATCTCAAATTTCTTTTCTAACAAGACAATCTTGCATACTACCCAACACAAAAAAAAGGTTCATATAGTCGATTTTGGCATTCTTTATGGCTTCCAATGGCCTTGCTTCATACAACGTCTTTCAACTAGACCAGGTGGGCCCCCTGAGCTTCGAATCACCGGGATCGACTTCCCGTGTCCCGGGTTTCGACCCTCACAACGGGTCGAGGAAACGGGTCGCAGGCTAGCGAATTATGCAGAAACTTTCAATGTCCCTTTCAAATTCAAAGCCATAGCTCAAAAATGGGAAACAATCACAATTGAGGATCTTGAATTGGATACTGAGGAAACCCTAATTGTGAATTGTGCGTATAGGTTTAGATATCTTCTTGATGAGACAGTGATGGTGGATAGTCCAAGGAATAAAGTTGTGAACTTGATTAGGAAAATGAAACCGGATATGTTTATACAAGGGGTGGTGAATGGGTCCTACAATGCTCCCTTTTTTATAACAAGATTCAGAGAAGCTTTGTTTTTCTTCTCTTCTTTGTTTGATATGATTGAGGCTAGTGTGGGGCGTGAGGTTCTGGAGAGGATGCTGATTGAGAAAGGGATATGGGGACAAGAAGCCATGAATGTGATTGCTTGTGAAGGTGGTGAGAGGATTGCTAGACCTGAAACTTATAAACAGTGGCAGGTTAGGAATATGAGAGCTGGATTTAGGCAACTCCCATTAAATCAAGAAATCTTGAAGATGGCTATGGAAAGGGCAAGGTCACGTTACCATAGAGATTTTGGGATTGATGAAGATGGACATTGGATGTTGCAAGGATGGAAAGGAAGGATTATGGTTGCATTATCTTGTTGGAAGCCTGTTTAATTTCTAACCTTGTCACGTGTTTTTACTTCCTTCAATGGAAGAAAGAAAGAGAAGAAGATGAAGATCGAGCATGGGATGCTCAATGCTGGATGGATGCTTCTCTTGCTGACTTGATGGGCTCATGGGCTAAGTTTAAAAAGTATGCTACTTTTAAAGATTTTGTTATTTAATTCACTTTTGTTTTATATATATATATTATATATATATATTATATATATATATATATATATATATATATATATATATAAAACGATACATTTCTACTGTGTTTTGCAATTAGCAGGCCATGTCTGCTTCTGAATGTTGGAACAGTGACAAATGAAGCATCCAGGTTAGCTTTTTATAGTCATATCTAATAAATTGGGAAAAAGGTGTTAATGAGAATAATCATTGTGATTGTGGACTGGTAATTCATTAGAAAAAATGAGTAATATAGGTAGCTTAATCTCATTGTTCATGTAGTTTTCTTATTATTTTAATGAAATTCAATTTATTAGTGGAATTTGTTTTTTGTCATGCTGTATTTTATTGTATAGTGGTGTTTGATTTGATTGAGGTGATGTTATTATGTTGGAAGATGTTACAGGAACGTGTTGTACGTTATGGTATGCAGTGTAGCTGGACATGTAATGTATGCTTTGGGAGGTAAGCATTTGTGTTGCGTGAGTGTGAGTGCATATATTAATTATTAATTATTAATAAATAAATAATAATGATAATATCGAAATCACATGGGGGTGATTCTGATTCATATGAGGGCTGAACGACGTCATGGATTACAACATATGAGTTTGGGGTTGGAAGTGTCTCTAATAATGAAAATATATAATGATTATTATTATTGTTATATTTAATACACCTGTTGTATAATATTAGTTTTTAAGTAAATGAAAATATATAGATTATTATTATCCTCATTTGAAAATAAGTGAAAAATTACAACTGCAAAGGAAATAGCTAATATTAAAAGACAACAGCTATTTTGAGAGTGATGAAATAAATTGATTTTTTGTATTACTAAATACTAATGCATCAAGTAAAAACAAATAATGATACTGCATGAGTTGGCAGTGTTTTGAATACATTTTTTTTCAACGACAAATACAAATATATACTAAACTATTCCTAACTTATTCCACCTAACAAATATATACTAAACTATTCCTAATTTATTCCACCTATATCTACAATGAGACTTGAACCCTCGACCTTAAGGAGGGTGGACAACACCGGATACCGTTGGGCTAGGGTTGTTAATTTGTTTTTTATTAGGTTATGGCCAAGAAGAAATGAAAATATTTTATGTTGTGATGGGTTGGGACTTGGGAATGCTAATGGTGGTCAGCTGCAACCCCTAATGTCTGTGAATTAAGATATTGGCATAGCAGTACTATTTGAAGCGTTATCATACGACAATAAAAAACTATTTTTTGCTAATTTAAAAACTACAATAATACTATGTAAAAAATTGTCTAAATTTGTACCGGAACACCGAACACTCTAAACTTAATGATTTGTTTCATTGTTAGACCGTTTCCAAAAAGTACATTATTCGGTTTTGTAATTAAATAGATTACAGCAAACAACCCGTTACTAATTAGCCTTCACACACACACATATATATATATATATATATATATATATATAATATATATATATATATTCTAATTTTTTTCTCATTATAATTTATGTTATCGAAAAATTATAGTAAAAATAAATTATTATAAATTTATACAACTTAAACCCAATTCTTTTATTAAATTTACATAACTTAAATCTAACCCTTTTATTAAACATCGACATACTTCATCAAAAATTTAAACCTAAATCCTTTCATTTATAACATGTCATATATATGATGTTTCATTCATAGTAACATGTCATATATATATATATATATATATATATAGATATATATATATATATAATATATATATATATATATTATATATATATATATATAACTAAAAATATATAAATAGAAAAAGAAAGACTAAAATCAACAAGAAACTTCAACTCAACTCTATTTTTAGGAAAATAAATAATGTTACTTAATATTTTGAGTAGCATTATTCATAACCCAAAAATTAAGGGAGCTGATATTTCTACTTCTCTATTTTATCCAAGGTTCTAAATAACATAAGGTGTGACTTGGCGGCAATGTCAAGCCTCAAGCTTTTTTCAAGCCGTGGCGAGTCGCGTCGTTTGTAAGACATGACTTAAGGTGAGAATTTTGTATATAATTAATAATTTTATATATATTTTCTACTATTATTCATTTTTATATACATATATGACCCAAGGTGACAATTTGTCAAAACTCGACGGCAACTACAAGCCTTGGAGCCATGACGAGCTTTTTAGAACCTTGATTTTATCCGTCTACTTAAATTTAAAGTGTTTTGACCTTTTTGCCATTGTGTTTAATTTTATATAAAAGACACAAATTATATGTTACTCCCTATCTCAGTTGGAAAAACCATCACGACCACCATATACAACCCTCTGTTTTGATTAAGGCTCGCCATCACCTGCCATCATACACTCCCTTCATCCCAACCACCACACCATTATTTGTTGGTGATTTTAGTGTCACCGGTTCATTTTATGTAATGAGATTTATACATGTTTCATGAGGATTATGTCGTAGTTTTAATACAAGGTAGGACTGTAGGAGATGCAGAGTGCGCACTTGTATTAATCTAGATTGATCCCGGTACAACCAAAGTAGCCAGGGTCAAGGGGGCCACGCCCTTGGCGGGTTAGGAAAATGTGATATTATAGAAATTATTGAATTTTAGGGGTCCAAATGTAACTTTGTGTGGTTATCAAGTGATAACTTCCTTATCCAAATGCAGTTGAATTTTCCAAATTCTGGGAGATATCAAAATATTCTCTTTCATTTTTGAAACATATGAAATTCGATCACACCCTCTCTCTCGTTTTTTATCGATTTTTTGTGCCTAGAATCTTGACTGTTCCTTTAAGAATTATCTAAGATCGAATTTCTCGTAACCCATACATAGAAGAGAAATATATGTTAGGTTAGTGAACTACATGATCCTTGAAGAATCTAGTGATCATATTCTATTTCTACTCTAGTTCTAACAATCGAATTGATATTTTTTGGTGGTGTTCATGGCGGATTTTGTGAAAGACATGAGAAATTCAAAAATCTTAACAAATTTGAAGGGAATGATTTCAGAAGTTGGCATAAAAAGATGCATTTCATGTTAACAACATTGAAAGTGGTGTATGTGTTGAGTACTTTGAGCCCGAAGAAGTGGAAGATGAGACGCTGGAACAGACTTGGAAGCGCAGTAAGTGGGAAAACGATGATTATATATGCAGATGACATATTCTAAACGATATGTCTGATTCCTTGTTCGATATATACCAAAATGTTGAAAGTGCTAAGGCATTATGGAATTCCCTTGAATTAAAAATATATCGCTGAAGATGCTTCTAGTAAGAAGTTCTTAGTGAGTGATTTCAATAACTATAAGATGGTTGATTCAAGGCCCTTAATTGAAAAATATAATGAACTCCTTCGTATCTTGGGGCAATTTACTTTACACAAGATGAATATGGACAAATCCAATGATGTCTCGAGTGAGATTGATAAACTTCCCTCTCCGTGGAAGAATTTCAAACACAGTATGAAACATAAAAAAACGAATTGTCTTTGGTTCAATTGGGTAGTCACTGCGCATAGAAGAATATCTTCGGGTCCAAGAGAATGCCAAAAATAAGGGAAATGTTCAATCTGGACAGCTGTAACGCCAGTGTTCCAGGTATTTTTTCATTTTAGCATTGATTCCATAAAAAGATTGCAAATTTGGTCCCTACGCTGGGCGTACGAGATGGGTACGTCGGGCGTAGGTCCTTAAAGTTGGTCACGAAATCCCTCGCGTATGCTAGGCGTACATGTTTGTACGTTGGGCATACTCAAACAGAGGGCAAGCCCTAATTTTTAGGGTTTCGACCCTATCTAAAGAACTTTATGGCCTTAAACCCTTTCTTACCTCCAGCCTCCATCTCGAAACCCTAATTCTTGTGTGTGAGTTTTGAAGCTTTAGAGTGACATTTTGGTGTTCTTGGTGGTGAAGGAAGACCTTTGGAGTTGTGGTGTTGCTCTCAAGCTTTTGGATCCAAATTCTTCCCATATTTATGCATCTTCTGGAGGTATAAAGTTCATACCTTGGAGCTTTCTTTGCTAGATTCATATTCTTTTTGTCTCAAAACCTTGATCTTTGAGAGTATGTAATACTACAGAGCTTTTAAGCTGTCCTATCAGATGTTTTAGGGTGTATAGTGTCATTAAAATGAAAGCTTGGTCCTTGGTATTCATCCATGCAAGATTTATAGAAGTTTAGATGATAATATAAGTTAGGGTTTTGGTTTTGAGCTTCCTTTCGACATGCAAAGGCATAAAGGTTGCAACTTTATGGCTTTAGACGTTTTATCAGGCTTGGATTTGAAGTTTGGACGTTAAGTCTTAACCCATTAAGACCTTAGTTTAGAGTTTGGAACTCAGGTGATTACACTAGGCGTAAACCTGAGTACGATGGGCATAGATGGTTATGGCCCCGTAATCTTTCCATGGATCGAACGTACGCTGGGTGTAATGTGGAGTACGTCGGGCGTATTCCCAGAAAATCCATTGGGCCATTTTTGGGCCTTGGGCCATTAGGGGTTTTGGGCCTTGATTAGTTGGGTTAGGTATGGGAAGGGCAAAATGGTCTTTTGCCCTTAATAAGATAAAAGATGATTTGGACCATTGATTATGGGTTAAAACCTGATTTTAATTAGGGTTGTCTTTGGGTTTTGATTAGTGAAAGGAGATGTGTTAGCATCAGCTCGAGTGTGAGATTCAATTATCTTCAACTAGAGGTGACTCTTCTTACCACACTAGTGGGTCGAAGGCACCGGGGTCGTCCCACTGATTCGTACGTGTAAAATGTTGCAATTATGTGACTATTACTGATGTGATTGTATGATATATATTTAGAGCCAATCTGGACTCGAGGTTGATACGGACCCGACACATCTATCTCCTGTTCCATTGGGTTGATACGGACCTGGGGATTGTTACGAACCTGACACAGCCACGTGTTGTTATATGTATGTGTATGATGTTTGTGGTATTTTCGGGAAGCTCACTAAGTTTTGCGCTTACAGTTATGTTTTTGGTTTCAGGTACTTCCGGTATTATAGGGAAGGGCCCGACGTGATGGCACAACATCCTCCCCCTCATGATTTCCGCATTTATGATCTCTTTTACTCTGATGTTTTGTGATAGTTTGTATTTTGGATGATTTTGAAAGATGTGATGTTTGGGATTGATGAACTTAAAACTAAAATTTTTACTTATGAATTTTGGGTCATTATAAGTTGGTATCAGAGCTTTGGTTTGAGGGATTCGGGCACACTTTCGGGTGTGTCAGAACTCAAACTGAGGAAATGATAATATTTTCAAAAGCAAATTCATATTCTAAAAAGATTTTCACCAAGTAAAAAGGATGGGTGCGATGCGTGCAATCAGCCGAGCTCAAGTAAGTGGTTCTTAAAATACCCATATCTATGTGGTGTGATTAGTATGCCTGACATATAAATGGCATGCTAGAATAGGGCTAAGGATACCTTCATGAATCGTATGATAGAATTGCCTGATTTGTATGATGCCTTATAGCCTAGGGGATTTGGATGTTATGTATTTCTTGAAATTGATATCGACTCAGTTAATTTTCTAAGTGTATACTTTACAAGTTGTATATGATTAGGATCATATAGCCCTAGAATGATCGATTTAGACTCATTTCCCGTTCCTTGTTTGGTTGTAGACTTAGGGTAGAACCATCATTTAATAGTCTATGTGATCCCATTTTGTCTATAACTTGCATGCATAGGGCAACCGACAGTGTGATTGAGATTCTCTGTATGGTAGAGGTGGCCAGATTGATAACTCATAGAAGAGCCTAAGTAATGCCATAGTAGGTTTTGTATGCTTTATAGCATAATATTGGTATATAGATTTAGTGTGGTGACTTAGAAGAATCAGGACGGCTCTTGAGGAGGGTACAAGTAGGTGTGGAAGGTAGTATTGGGCCCGTACTACTGGAAACACATGATCTGTACTCGAGACAAGGAGAGACATGGGGATTCTAAGGAGAATTGTATAGTGAGAGTTCTCTCGAGTTTTATGTTGATCATTTATATGTTTGTATTTCAATTTGAGTATGGTGATGATCACTCGAACAGGAGGTTCTGGCTCTGGTTCTAGTTTTGGCTCGGGCACACAACCGATTGATGAGAGGCTACGCGAGTTCATTGCGGTCGAGATCTCTCACGGTATTGTGGATGCTACTCTTGTGTTGTTTGGTACCATCAAGGAGAGGATATGGAGCTTATGGATGAACAACTCAGGGCCTTTCGATCTGAGATTGATGCGGGTCAGTTAGGAGCGCGAACTCCCTCATTTCGGGATTTCAAGGCTTGTGGAGCTCCAGAGTTCTTCGGGGCTAAGAACCCAATCGCTAGCCGACTCTGGATCGCTGACATGGAAAATGCTTAACGGTCGAGTTTTTGCCCGAAGGGAGAAAATGTAGGGTTTGCATCCTACCTGCTGAGGGACCGAGTACGTGATTGGTGGGATGAGGTCGGCGGAGCCGTGGGGACTGCGACAGTGGTAACCATGACTTGGGATGAGTTTTTTACAAGGTTCCAGAGGGAGTTTTCACCGACGATCGAGGTGCAGCAGCTGGCGAGGGAGTTTCAGGACCTTCTCTAGAATACCAAGACTATGGCGGAGATCACCACCAAGTTCCGGGAGATGGCTCTTTTAGTTCCGCAATACGTTGTGGATGAGGATATGAAGAAGATGAAATATCATGACATGTTAAGGGATGACATCTCGGAGTTTGTGAGCTTTTAGGGGAGCAAGACCCTGAATGATATGATTGAGAGGGACCACGAGTGGGAGATTGAGTTGGAGCTTCAGACGACGCCCAAGACGAAGCAGGTGCAGACGCTAGGCTAAGAGGACTAAGACTTCTGATGTAACATCCCATAATTTATAGAAATTCGTAGGGTAAAATTTTCGTTTTTATTATGCCCAAAACATTCATTAACCTTTAATCCAACATCTAGAAGAGTTTCAAAATAAAACAATTATCAGAGTTAAAACCCCAAAATCACATATTGCGGAAAACAAGGGTGTATGCGTTGCGATCAAGCCGAACCCTTCCCTTTTGAACCAGAGATACCTGAAACCATAAACAAAAATGTAAGCACACAGCTTAGTGAGTTCCCCAAATACCACATACCAAAAATAAAATAAATATATAATGGTCCCCGCCCTGTCATCGGGCCCGCCCGGTATCGAGCCCCACTCGATATACAGATATGTCAATCATCAGGCCCCACTTGGCATCGGGGCCCTGCCCGGTATAAACATATAAACATATAACATATAAACACACAACACATGCCATAATCACAGAGATAAATAGCATACAGACTAGTCTTCGGGCCCCACCCGGCATCGGGTCGTACCCGGTAATCATAAAAACATATACAAATAACTAGCATACAATATAATCATCAGGCCTCACCTGGCATCGAGCCCTACTCGATAAACATAAAATACAACCCACTGAGTCACCGCCTCAACTCACTGGTTTAACTCGCATCCAGAAGGGGTTATGGTTTGCGACCCCGACTCGCCGAGTCCAAGAACAGACTCGCCGAGTCCACTTGTGACACCTTCATTCAGACGATTACAGTCCATTCCAATGCTTCCCACTTGTCGATCTGGACTCCTAGGGCTGGCATTACACGTAAAGTTGCCAACTTTACGTGCATCCAAAGAGCTATGAAGCTTGAACATCAAATCTAAGCTAAAATGAAGGTCCAAAACAAGAAATGAGGCTATGGCTGAATAAAGCTTCTCACTCAGAGCTCCTAAGGCTCATACATACTCAGATCTAAAGTCCTCTTCGTCCACAAAAGCTCAATACTCGGATTGACCTTGGAAATGGCCCAAAAGTGACAAAATGTAGGTTAAGAAGAGGATCTAGATGACTATCAGTCAAGGTATGAGCTTTGTTAGGTGCTATTTGTGCACCTTTTTGCACACCTTTTAGTCCCATTTCATGCATCTATTTAGCACAATTGTTCTTCCTTTTTCTTGCATTTCATCATATTCATGTTAGTCTCTAGAACAACCTTATTTGCACACTTTCATGTCTTTTTCAGGTAAAACGGAGGTTGGAACACGCTTTGGGAAGTGCCGGGAAGCATTGGTGAAGATTTCGGGATGATCGGGCGAAGAACGAAAAAGTTGGAAAAATCAAGTTTGGAATTGGAGTCAGAGAGGTACACGGGGCGTGTTGGATTTACACTGAAAAGTGAGCACGGGGCGTGTTTGACCAAGAAGAAGCTGTTGATCATGCTGAACACGACCCGTGTCAGTTTAGTACAAATCAACACGGGGCGTGTTGACTGCTGAACACGACCCGTGTCAGTTTAGCCTATTTTAACACGGGCCGTGTTCGACCCAAAAACCAACTTTTGGCAGTTTTTGCTATCTTTCATATTACGGGTTGAAGGCCATTTTTACAGACACACAACATATCAGAGCACCATTGGAGAGGAGAATTCGAAGGTTTTTGCAAGGGTTTGTCCGTTAATCATTTGGAAACATTAATTCTCGTTTTTGTAAGTTGTAATTACAATTAATTTCATCTTTAGACTTGTGATCTTGTTCTAGCCATGTATGGCTAGAACCCTAACTTCTCCAATTTCATGTTTTGACTTTTTGGTTGTGAATCAAATCATATGACCTGATGTTTGTGTTTAATTTCTATCTAGTGAAATTGATTTTACTTCAATCGAATGTTTGATTCTAATAATGATTCTTATTGGCCATTTGAATTGGGGTTAGGTCATTCAAGTTATTTATTTTGCAAAATACGTAATTGTTTTGTGAATTGAACTAAGTAACAAGCATTAAATTGATTTCTTATGAATGAATTTAGTGTAAATATTTTCACATATTCTTACGCTCCCGAGCTTGTGAGGAGTATTGGGTGTTGTTGGGAACATTCACAATAAGCTTAATGCAATCTTTTAATCTACTTCTAAGAGCTTGTTTAGATTAGGTTAATAAGGTTAGGATTAATCAACGAGCTTGTTTTGATTGATTAATGTGGTGAATGGAAAGCGTTAGAGCTTGTTAACACTTTCAAGTACCAACTTAGATAGAATGAAACAAATGTCTTGTCATCTTTGATTCACATTGCTGGATTGTCATACATGGAGTTGGAGTCCTTACAAAATCTGAACTTAATTCATTAGTTTAGTTGTTTAATCGTGTTCTAAATTGGTTTACTACATCATTACACTCAAACCCCCCCCCCCCCCCCCCCCCTTATTTAATCTTTTGTGAACAAATACCTTACGCAAAGAGGTATATACTAATTATCCCGTGTCTCTGTGGATCGACCCTACTTGCCTTGTACTATTTTTCTAGTGCAATAGAGTAGTGTACTTGGAGTCATTTGTACCCCTTTATTTGTTGGGTTTGACATGCCCTAACAAGCTTCATACCTTCAATTGATCTGAAATGCTTCCCAAACTATGGATCTACTGCCTCTTCTTGAATCCCCAAGGTTTTCCTTCTTCCTTCTAGCTTTAAATCACTCAAAAATGGCAAGAGAAGCTTAAGGACACTCAATGGCTGCTTAGGGTTTCGAGAGTAGGTGAAGGGAGTGATTGAGGCTGGGGTGGAGGCCTGAAATGATGTTTAAATAGGGTACCAAGTCCGAAAATTAGGGTTTCCCAACCCAGACCTGACTCGCCGAGTCCACTCGCCGACTCGTCGAGTCGGCCACTTACTCTTCCACCCGGATCCCGCTTCGACTCGTCGAGTTCTTCCTTGGACTCGACGAGTTGACCCCTTTGACTTAGGGTTTTCCTTTCCTTTCTTGGCCTTTCTGATTCTGGGTGTTACATTATGAGGATGATTTTTAGTTTTGAAATTGAAGAAAAAAGTCAAGATTGTGAAAAACGTCGAGAACAGTAGTCTTTTGCGGTGTGTTGAAACCAAATGAACCAGCACCTATTTATATAAACTCTAGATGGGAAAATATGGCCATTTAGGGGTTCCAATGGCTATATTTATCGTCACGTTACCCTTTTTTAATATTTTTTATTGCTTATAACGGTCATCCAGTTTATCCGAACCCAAGTCAGATTTTTTTTCCGGGGTCAATATACGAAGACGATTTTTCACGTATTCGGATCCTATCGGTCAGATTAGATATTTTTCGATTCAATTTTACATTGAACAGATTTTAAAATACCTGGATCATATATTTTTCCATACACAAAAATAACCGAATCCGTTTGTGCACATATTGGCTCCTTAAATGGTTTGCTCACCTACCATAGTGGTTTTTATGATTTCAAGGTTATGGGAAGAGGACCCGACCCGACTCGCCTTTAGCGATGATGCTAAGCAAGACATATGACGTTGTATCGCACACCTTTTTCTTAACCACCTTTGAATGAAGCTCCTAAAATTTGAACGCATGTCAATATATTAGTGAGCTTTGGCTTTTTCCGATCTATAATTAATTGTATTGGATATTTGGATGCATTAGTGATCGGACTATTAGTCCCAAATGATAAACTAGCGAGTAGTGACCCATGACAGGCCCAATAGTAGATCCATTATCCATCCTCCTGGGATCCTGGATCCAACCAAGTCCGAACCCGAACACAGAGAGGTTGAACGTTGAAGATAGAAGAGGGGTTTTTACTTTTTACGATTTGCTGTGAATCGATTATCGAAGTAGAATGAGCGGCTCTGGAACTGCAGATTTCTTCTACAGAGAAGCTCAGCGACTTGGTTATGTTGCTCGCTCGGCCTTCAAGGTAATATACTAGTTAGGTTTCATTTTTTCACAATTTGAAGATTAAAACTGGCATATTATTTATATTCGGATGAACTTTAATTTAACCAAAATATGATATGAGTATCACCATTACAATTTCATTAGTTTTCGTTTAATTATGGTTGGAACTTGGAAGTGCAGCTACTCCAGATTCAGAAACAGTACAAATTGATAACACCTGGTTCCTCTGTTGTTGACCTAGGTTGTGCTCCTGGTGCTTGGCTTCAGGTCTCCTTCTTTCTCCCTTTCTCGTTGACCGAATCTTCGTTCCAATTGTTGTAACATACCAATCGCTTCGTGTGCCATGACGATTTGCGCAAATTTGATGGATCGACTCCTTTTTGTAGTGTTGTAATTCGTTAACTTAGTTTTTACTTTCAATCATTCAAAATCAGGTAGCTTGTCAAAGCCTTGGTCCATTGAAGAACGGTGGTGTTGTTGTTGGCATTGATCTTAAGGTAATCCTGTTGTTGATTATAGTTCTTGTACTCGATTCATATAACTAAACTTTATTACACAAGAATGATTTAACTTTAAGCTCATTGTTTATATCCAGAACAGAAGGTGAAGGTTCCTTCTACTCATTGCGATTCAAGGGTTTCAACTGTTTGTGCAGATGTCATGAACCTTCACAAACATCAACTTCTAAACCTCTCCCCTCAGGTCATTTTATTTACCCTGTTTTTGTTGCCTACCATTTCCTCAAATCAATAATAAATAAACCCCTAATCGATTTTGCAGAAGAAAGGATTTTCAGTTGTATTATCAGATATGTGTCCACTTGTGTCTGGAATCACAACAAGAGATGCAGCTTTATCAATGGAATTAGGTATGCGGGCACTTGATTTGGCACTTGGAAAAACAGAAAAGCAGCCTAACCAAGAGGAGGAAGAAGAAGATGATGTTGGTGTACTGAAAGCTGGAGGGCACCTTATTGTCAAGCTTCTAGAGAGCGAGGATACAAAAGGTAAATTTTTATAAAAAATATTTTAAAATATAAAATCTTGGTGTTATATTTTATAAATAGTAACTAAATCCTTTTATAAATCAATTGTTGTGGTGGTTGCAGAGTTGAGCAAGATCTGCAAGCCTTTATTTAGGAAGTCGTCATGGTTGAGGCCTAAAGCTACAAGATCAAACTCTAGGGAGATTTATTTAATTTGTCAGGATCTGCAACATTAATTACAGAATTTTCAAGAAAATGATATTCTAGCTTATGCTTGCATCACAATTTATTTTCATTATTAAATATCATTTTATAGGTCTTTAATCGTAGTTTTACTCTTTTATCAACCCTTGTATTACCCATCCCTTATAAAGCTAATCGACTGTCATTTTTATTTACATTTGGTCATTTTTTCATGCCATAGTCCATTAAACTCTTATTTTATGTCTAAATTATTCTCTTATGATCGGCTGTAATAGGGTAACATTTATTTGGCATACGGCATATAAGATTGGAAAAATCATTTAAGAGTAACAAATTGACATATAAGATGGGAAAAATCATTTAAGAGTGTAACCAATTGACATTTTTGTTTGCATTTGATCATTTTTTTAGTACACAATTGATCATAAACCTTTTATTTTGTATTCAAATTATACCACTGTCATCGGCAATAATCTGTTTTGTCGGTTACATCTCTTTAAATCGTAGAATACGTCCATTGCAGTCAAACCCTCAATAATTATGGTGACCCCAAAATGTGAGAATAATCATTTTTTCATATAATCGGATAGTTTTTTTTTAATTTTTTTTTTATTTTGACATCATAGACACAATAATTTTTTGTATAACACAAAAAGAACATTGCATGATGTCATGTTTTGTTTTACTAACATGAAAACGATTTAATTTAAACATGATAAAAACGATCAACACAACAAACATGAAAAAGATTAAGTAAAATAAACCTTTAATTTATTTAAGTCACAATTAATCTTATAAAACACACACACAAAAAAAACACTACAAACTAAATGTTAATACTATGTAAATTTCATCTCGAAGTTTGAACACGAACACGACAAAACATTTTTTTTTACACTTTACAAGAACATGACACAAACACAAATTTGAATTTCAATTCGGTCCAAACTTCATTTCATGTTGTGCGTTTTTGATGTGTCTTGTTATTGATAGTGTCGTGTTATTGTCTGCTGTAAAAAACACGAAGGTCATGTTGTGGGGAATTTGTATTCAAACCTCGACATGAAATTGACACGGTATTAACATGTATTTTTTGTTTTTTGTAAGATTAATTATGAATTAAATAACTTAAATATTTTTTTTTTCGTGTTTGTCGTATTTATTGATAATTTGGTTGTAATGGTTGTATTTTATAATTTTAAGAGATGGAGCCGGCAATACGGGCTATTGCTGGTCATAAAACTATAATTTAAACACAAAATGAAAGTTTAATGATCAATGGTATAAAAAAAACCGTTGTAAACAATAGAGACAATTAGTTACCACTTTTAAGTAATTTTTTTTTTCAATAGCATATATGTAAATCTACTATAACCAACCAAGGTTTAGGTTTCTTTTATCGTTAATTGATTATCTATTTAAAATCGATGCCATCAGGCCAATATAATAAATCTTGATTTACATAATACAGTTGGTTGTGTATTATAAGATAGGAACACTTGAGCAATCTTCAAGGATACTCGCTTAATTCACCTACCATACCATTATTTTAATTAAATACATAATAAGTGCGTATTTTAATCATTAGAACAATCTACAACTTTAAAATCAAAGTGCATAATACGTGAGTATTTTGATACATATGATAAAAAGCTTTCTATTTTTATTAATTTATGACAAGAAATATTTTAATTTCAAAAACGTATATCTAATATATGAGCTTAAATACTGCAGTCGAAATTCGAGAAGACATTATACTTGAAAATAATGAATTGTCCAAGTTTATAAACTTTTTCTTTGGGCATCATATAGTTATTTTGGCAAAAATATTAAGGTTTTATTAAAAACAATATATGATAAATCGTATACCTCACTATATAACATTAAGTATGCCAAGTTGGATCTTCAACATCATTCATTCATATTTGAACTTAAATTTTGAAAAAAGTAATTATTATATCTGTAGCCTTATAATAAATATGATAGCTATGAAAATGATAAAATGGTTCATCTTTATATTTATATACGAAGAATATAAATAAATACTACAAATAATTTAACAAAAACATATTTATTTAAGTTTTATACTCTTTAGTCTTATTGATTGCATCATCTTGTTTTTATCATAAAGCCCGTGTTAATTGAAAAACTAGCTTTAGTTTATAAACTTAATTTATAAGTTACATTAAAAATTATAATAAGCTATTTGTATGGTCTCCCAAAATATTAAATTGCAATAAACTGAAGAGAACCTTAATATAAGACATATTTGACAAAACTAACTAATAGCTAGAAGCTATAGTTTTTATTAATATAAAAATATTTTATAAATATAGTTATTAATTTTTAATAAAATTATGTAAAACCTAAAGCTAAAAGTTTCAAAATAAAACCTTTTCATTTTTTTTTGAGCTTTTGTTTATAAACTAAAAGTTAAAATTTTATAAGAAAGAAACCTGTAATCAATTAACATAAATAATGATTGCGAGTAAGCCAACAAACGGAACCACAATTTAAATATAAAATAAAGCTATCTCAATCGTCATCACCAAGAACATGTTATATTTAATTCAAATAAAAAAGCTGATAAACTTTACATGGCTATAAGCCTATAAACGTATAAGTATCTGTATATACAGAAATATAAGTTAAACAAAATACGAAAATGCATTTATCTGAATTGTGTTATATTCGAGATTGGTGGCCTTATCTCAATCGAAGGCCGCAAAAGAATAAACCAAACAAAGCTCAGGGACCCAAAACCAACAATGGGTTACACCTATATAAGAATAAGCATGAAGCATCTAAATCGAATAAAGCGACTCACCAAGTAGTTTTTTTAATAATAAAATTCACAATCTTTTTCTTATAATCGTATTACATTTAAAATAAATTTAAAAAAAAAAAAATCAGATAGCAAAACAACATTTAACAACTTTATCCGATTTCAAAACCCAAAGTGATAAATCATATTCTGTTTTTTTTGTAAAAGATATACACATCTCTCTCTAAATAGTAAATACATTTAATGATAACAAATTATTAGAAGGTGGTGGCGATTTTATCCAAAAAGAAATGAATCCATATTTCCATAAAAAGGAAAAAGTGGCGGGAAAAGAAATGGATGGCCCAGATTCGAATAAATTCCGCCATTAACCCAGAAGCTTCCTCTTAGAAACAGGACACGTGTCCCCATCTGGGCAAACCCATACCTTCACTCTCTTTATTGTCACCTTAAATCCACGTCGGATCCGTTGAAGCTTCACAGGATTCAAATACCAGCTTCACGAACAAGCTACAAACTCATTTTCATCACCATAAAACCCCTTTCGTTCTTTCTTTGTTTCTAATCTAACAAATCACCTATCATAAATCTCTCCCAAATCATACAAACTATCTTTAATTCTTTATCTTATCGTTAATCTTACAATATGGAGGTTGACGGTGGTTATGGATCGGCGGAGGAAGGTTGCCGGACACCCAAACGAAGTGGGAGTCGGATGCCGATGAAATGCCCGGCGGCCCCGAAGAAGAAGCCTGTTCATTCAAAGCAGAAGAAACCGCCGGCGAATGGGTATTTCCAGTCACCGGATCTTGAGATTTTCTTTGCAATGGCACGAAGAAGAGAAGCTTGTGCATGATTATTTTTGCACTCTGTTTGTTTCAGAGATATCATGTACTCCATCAATGGCTGCAGCCTGCCTTTGTGGTTACCCTGTTCGCATCATCTTCGTTCATATTTTGTTTTCGGAATCAAGATCTTGTAATAATGATTTCCAACAAATTATTTTTGTGATTGTATAAATTTTGAGTTACGGATTGTGTTCATGGATTCAGTTTTCTCTTTTTCTACTTTATTGTTTCTAGTTACTTTGATTCTGTTTCGTTGTGTTTCGGAGAATTGATTTGAGGTGAAATTAAAGAATGATTACCGAATATTTTCCATACTTCATTTTTGAATAACGTTTCATTCCTATTAAATGTCTGTATTGTCTCTGAAAACCTAAATAAATGCATGCATTCCCCTATTATTGTTGTATGTAGTGGAGTAACTATTGTTCTATCATCTATCATCATGTATCATTTATCATGTATGTAGTTGTTTATTAACTAATAGTCTAATAGGTGTTACAAATGGTTTAGTATTCTTTGTAAAACCTAAATTTTGTTCCAAAAAGTTTTGTTGTAACTATAAATGATGTAGATTTTGAAGGGATACGAAACTTAATGAATTGATATCATTTCTTTAAAAGTTGCATTAATTGAGTAATACTACGTCAATCAAATTTTAAAACATTGATGTGTAATTCATTGGATATAAGAATTCTTAATCTTCATTTGCAAGAGATATATGTGACGTAAGAAAAAAATTATATTTGTTAAACTACAAAAATAACATTGAATTATCATAACTAAAAACACCTAAAACATCTGATAAAATTATAATCGGTTAAAACTTTAAACAGTTACACGTGACTGAGTAAATGTTTGACTTTTTTTTTTTTTTTTTTAATGAAAAATGATATATTGTTTTATCGTATAAAGATTCGTGAAGGTGTTCTTTTAAGTGCTTTTTTCCTTTATTTTTCTTTGTAAAAACCAGAAAAATAAAGCAATGAATGTAAACTGTAAAGGGTGGTTCTTGAAAAGCTTTTTGGTAAATCACATTATTCTTTGTAAGAGAAAGAGGTAGAAAATTGTCTTTCTTTAAAAGAGATTATTCTTGACAAAACTTTAAGGGAGTAGTTCAAGTAGAAAATACCTATTTTTTCTTAATAAATCATTTTTATTTATATATTATAACGATTTAATTTTTTATTTTAAGAAAATGTGTTGATTTCACTATAGTTCTGATTCTTTATAGATTTGATATGTTAAATCGTTGATATACTTATTTTTATTATTTATATAAATATTATCTTCTTGTAAACTAAACAAATTCAACGGGATGATTTTTTTAAAAGTAATTCAGCCAACTATATTGATCGTGAAATATCATAGAAAAATAGGAATCCGTGTTATCAAAAGATTTTTTTGTGATTAGTACGGAACGAATCAGTCATCCACTTTAGTATCTTATTGAACAAAAATTATAATATTGTTCCTCCATTGATCAAAAATTAGATTTTCTGGAAGTCTCATGATAGTTATTTATCGATAATTTAAGTTTTTAACATATAAATTATACAACATTGAACACAAGGTTCCAAAAAAATGAAATTTTATACAACATTGAACACATGAGATTTTTGCTATACGAAATATATACTTGTCCAAAACTTTTTTGGGTTATCTACAGAAAAATCCCGAACTTTTTTCAAAAGTTTCAATAAAGTCCTAAAAGTTTTTTTTAAACAAAAAAGTCCCAATATTTTGAAAAAATCATATAATCTATATAGTTCAAATATAAAAAAGGATTTTTTCGTAAATTTAGGCAAAAAATCAAAATATTGGGACTTTTCTGTTAAAAAAAAAACTTTTAGGACTTTATTGAAACTTTTGAAAAAACTTTGGGACTTTTCTGTAGATAACCCAAACTTTTTTACAGTTAAACTCCGTCTTCTCATGTAACATCCGAGTTCCTGATACGTATTTTGTTCTGGCTTTAATCTGTTTAATTCGCTGAAAATCTGAAAAATTGTGGAATTTGTCTGGGGCGTCGGGGTGCCTATATAAGGACACGACGTGTACGACCTGTGGGCTGTTGGTCTTTTCTCGCAATTTGGGTCTATTTAAAGGGCACAAAACCCTATGTCTCATTATTCTTAGCCTCAAGAGCACCATTGAGAGAAACCCTAGCCTCCCCTATCTTGTTATTGAGTATTTTGTGATTTGTGAGCTTATTTCTTCCATTGTAGTGAATCTTGAAGATCAAGAAGGTTTCATTGTTGTAAGAAAGGTGGTTCCAAGTGTATGTCCAACAAACTCAATCTATTTTTCGACCTTTGTGAGTATAAAGTTCATATCTTGCTCTTTAGTCCATTAGATCTTGTTATATGTAGTTTTTGGCACTTTTGGTCCATTTTGCTTGTGTTCTTGGAGTTGAGAGAACTCCAACACCTTTTGAACACCTTGGATTACTCTCTAGACTTTTGTACTTTGAAAAATGAGGTTTGATTAATTCCCATCATGTCATTCAAGAGTTAGAGTTCACTTGGTCATTTTAGAGAATTAGAATGTTAGATCTTACGTGTTTGGAGCATTTTAATGGATAATGTTGTAAACTTTATCCATTAACACACTATTAAGAATCAGATCTGAAAAGTTAAGCCCGTGACTTAATGGATTAAATCGAAAAACCCTTTGTCCTAGACGTGACACGTCTTTTCAAGGGCACAGAAGCACATGTGTAGATTTTTGAGACGCGCCTGATTGAGCTGAAACCCGACTATTTTGCCATGTATTAGACGCGAGGCGCCCATAATGAGGCACATGGAGTCTTTTGACCGCGATGTTGACTTTTTGGTCTTTTTGACCGTGATGTTGACTTTTTGACATTTTGACCAAGTTTTACATTAGGTCAAACTTTAGAGTTGACTTGTAGACCGAGTTTTGGTATCTTTCTAATGTTTAGGCCGTTCATGAGATTGTTTCGTGCACGATTTGTATTTGTAGTTGTGTTCTTTATTTTTTATTTTTTTCAGTTCATGTGAGTTTTCTTACTATACTATGTGGACAATATGGATCCTTATATGCTAGGATATAAGTACTTATAGAATAGAGTTATATGAGTAAACTAGTATAGTATGCAGTATGTTTGTATATCTGGTCATATGATTTGTTCATATGTTTGTATGAGGAATTGATGGCAAATAACGATAGGTCGTGAGCTTATAAGCTCGTGTTGATGACGGAAAAACGAGTGGTCGTAAGTCTAGATACATATGTTACTGGTGAAATGGCTAGAGGTCATAAGCCCTGATTTGTATGTTATTGGTAAAACGACGAGAGTGTTGGGTTTTCTATGCATCAAATACACTCTAAAACTAGGCAGAGGAAAAATCGAAACAATGATATACCTAAGTGTACATGCATCCTATGGATCTATGGCTTCATGCTAATTACATCAACCCTAGAAAACTAAAACATAAGTAAGAAAACATACCTCTTATGTAGCCCTTGATCTCCATGCTTGAGATCTTGAACCTCCATGAAGTTGCTTGGATGAAAGGATCCAAACCAGAATCCCTCTAATGGTATCACACCCAATGACACCAAAGAGTGGAATAAAAATAACTAGGAGAATGGTCAATTTCACAAACCCAAAGGGGTTAGAAATTGTCCCTAAGAAGGGGAGGAAGAAGGGTTGGCGAATACTTCAAGCCAAGGTGCAAGGAAGAATGAAATCCCTAAGGCCCTATTTATAGCCTTGGATGCCTCCTAGGGTTTAGTACTCCTTCCCATGTGGGATGGAGGCCTAACCACGAAATTTCACTCCTTTCCCATGTGGAATGGAGTGATTTTCATCCAACCCTAATTCCATAAGGTTCTGGAACATTCCTGATTAACCAACTATCGATTAATGAACATTCAACCCTTTAATTAATTAAACTGTTAATTAACTCCCAAAATATATTTCCAATTAGTTTCTAATTAATTATTAACCATAATAATTATTAAACTAATTTCTCCTTTATTTATTCTACTCAATTTGGGTCTTGAGGGCAACCTGTGACAACCCGGAATTTCTATTCTGTACAACCATTCGATTCAATAGAAGTCAGAACAGTTTCTACTAACTTTCAAGCTTTTTGGAATAAGTTTGAGTGTTTTAAAGTTAGTACTTCAGGAGATAACAGGAGAGAGGATGCCCTAGGGTTTATTGTGCAACAATAATGTCCCAAAACTCCAAGAGTTTGGAGTTTACGGCCTAAACAAAGGTGTTTACGACCGTAAACCCTAAAAGGGGGTATAAATATGACACTTAGTCATTATTTACCACTTTTCACATTTTCAAGATCCAAAACCCATTTCTCTCTCAAGTATCATCCGACTTTTCTTCAAGATCTTCAACTTTGTAAGTGTTTCTATCCCTAAAAAGTTGATATCTTACTTAATCTAGTGATCTTACATGATTCCATCCATGAAATCATTCCAAAAGTGTAGATCTTCAAGTTTCACCAAGAACACCAAGAACACACACTAGTGTTCTTGGACTTTTAGCACCTTTTCAAGCTTCTACCTAGTAAGTACTCTTACCCTAGTGTATTATAAGACTTGTTACACTTCTAATCATCAAGAAAACACCCAAGAAACACAAGATCAAAGGTGTTTACGGTCCAAGATGTTCTTGGACCGTAAACCCTAAAAAGAGTGCCAAAGTGTGCCCTAGTCCCTTACTAAGCCTTGGAAACTAGCCTAGACCCTTCCTTGATGTGCTTAGTACTTGAAAACATCAAAATACCATAAACCATTTGGGTTTACGGCCGTAAACCCAAAGACAAATGGTCCAAGGACCGTAAACTCTATAAAGGAGTGAAATGGTGCCCTAATCACTTCCTAAAGCTTAAACATGAAGTATGAATGCTTCTTATGACCTTTAAGGCTTCAAAACACAAAATGGTCAAAGTACCATGAGTTTACGGCCATAAACTCATGGGTTTACGACCGTAAACTCAAGGGGTTATGGTCACAAAACCGTAAACTCCAAGGGAGTTCACCCTTGAACCCTAAACTCAAATGGAAGGTCCTACCACCTTTAGATGCAATCCTTAGGACTTATAGCACTTAAATCAAGTGTTTTACATGTCTTAGGATGTCTTAAACTTGGTTAATTAGTTGTTTTATGACTAATTGGATACATATATGTGTTATTATATGTTAACTAGGATCCTTGTGTGTGTTCAAGTCTTCACTTGACACTTAGCATCCTATACATTTCGTTCATCCAAACCACTCACTACAG